TAGACCATGGCCGTGGCCACTGCCAGCAGAGGATGTGCTACTGGCCTGGCCAATAAAATATGAATTTATGGCCTATTTGCTTGGCTTTCTGCAGGCGAGTCTGGCAAGGCTGTTGACCGGGCATCGCAACAGAGCCAGTGTTTTTATATGTGAAAGCCACATTAGGGCCCCAAATCTTGGAGCTTAATGAGCTTGCTCCACTTGGATATTCTACTCTAATGGATCGACAGAACCAGCTACCGAAATGTGTTTTAAAATTCAAAGACCCACCACACCCCACCACATCACATCGCATCCCTCCATATCCCTTTCAATATGTCGGCAGAGCTTGTTTAGAATCTTGAAGCCAGCCGCATGTTGTTGCCTTCTCATTGGCAAAGCGTTTGCGGTCTTAACTTGGTTATGGCCATGGGTATTTTCGGGGCCAGAACGTTTTATGAATATGTCTGATGGCAAATGCATGGCAGACAAAACTGGGAGAGACTGCATCCAACGATGTCGAGACCAAGTTTGTGCCAGCCCGAGGGCGCCGCATTCCATGTTAATTGTCTAACTCAATTTCGGGCCCTGCGAAGGCTGCGTAAACAACCACCGGAGGAGCTCTGTCAGTTCTTCTAAAAGTTTAGTGTCAAATGCGTAAATTTGATTGTGTTTCCTAGTTGGGTTATGCTAATCGAGTTTAAAGTACTTCAAAGTTTCGATAATAGCGGGGCTGCCATTGAAAGGCTTTCACTTTGTGCCACGGCGGCAGTCGTCATTATGAATGGAACAACCCCGGGTCGAGGCTGAGGTTGGGGCTGAGCCCGAGGCTGCTTTTGGAGCTGCTAATAGCGCGCAAAAGTATGCCATGAAATATGCATAAAATCACTCGCAAATGCGCTAAGCGAGCGACGTGTGGCGTGGCGGCTGAATCGTTTCAGTTTTTGTTGGCGCTGCTGCTGCATTTTGGCAAACGAGCTGCCAAATCAAAAACCGTTGAGCGTGCGAAGTGTCAGTTGGTGGACGAGGGCGGGGGGAAATGCACATTAGACAGCCGACGTTTGGGGAAATTGCCTGGAAGCAGCTCTGCTTCGAGTGGTGGCAACTGCACTTGCCTGGAGCTCCTCCATTCGTTCGGTCTCTGGCAACAGAATAAAAAATTCAGTCCCATAAATGCTGAATGCTGAATGCTGCTCGAAATGCTCAAAATGCTTGTGTGTGCTGGCCCCACGTTTAATTGGCCCGAAGCCTCAAATTATGCAATAGTTGCAGTCGAAATTGACCGCAAACAAGCCAGCAATAATTTGGAAATCATTTTTGTGTGCCATAATTTATGCAGAAATTCAATCTAAATTAAACATCAAACAAAGGCCAACAACGACCAGCTCTCCCTCTCTCGGCTTTGCGTGTCTGGAGGGGCGTGCAATGCTCATTGCGACACATTCGCACCTGCAATTAGCTCAATGAACCTGCCAGTCGCCAGGCGTCCGTCACCCGTCACCCGTCGCCGCCCCGTAACCTGCCACGATGTCAGTCAATGCAGGCGGCAGCTGTCCAAAATGTAATATTTAACGCCATTTTATGCAAATTGAAATTATGTTAATGGCCACCGGCCACCGGATAACGGACCACCGGCAATTGATGATGACGTCTGTCAGTCCGGCTGCAAAAACTGGCACTGGAATGATGACAACAGTTCGGTGCAGCGAATCGCATGTCGATTGGCTTAAAGCACTTTGCATGTTTACTGCTCAGTGTGCATCTTCAGCGCTCGCCGCGATGCTGTCTCTGTCCCCATTTAATGCTTGACAAGTCTGCATGGCTCATTTGCATTTTAATAATAATAATCACAATAATGCACAATAGCAGGCGCTGGAGCTGGCGCAGGAGCGGAGCATCAGCAGTAACGATGATTACAATAAGCACATGAAATCACACATTCATCGGGAGGCGATGCGATAAGCTGTCAGATGCGAGGAGCTGCAGTTCATCAAGTTGCCAGTTGCCAGTTCCCACAGTCACGTTCCGCCTCCTCCAGCGTTTACATCTTGCTTTCCACCCAGCTTCCCCTGGAGTCGTCGCCCAGATCTACTGCCTGTTGTCGTTAGCATTTTGTTTATATTTGCTTAAATGTGCGGCGCATTCTCATAATTAGTATGCATGTGTGCATCTGGGGGGTGCGTATTTGCGCATGTCTCTGTGTGTGTCCGTGTGCAGCCATTGCAATTTACTTTTGTTTGGTTTAAAAAGCGCGTTAAACTTGATCATTGTTGCCGGCGGCATTGTTTGCCTGCTCGTTTGCCGCGCTGTGGGTGTGAAAGAGTTAAGGCCCAGTCCCGACTGATTATCCCCAGCCCCATAAAACCGCAATATCTGCCGGCGTTTCAATCGCTTGCTCACTCACCCGGGGGCCCAGAGTCATAAAATTGCGTATACGTACCTGGAACGAGAGCAAGAGCAAGAAAAGGTTGTTAATTTAGTCGGCAATACTGAGGAAAAAGGGTTGTTTAACGAAAGAGTTTTAGGTTCGGGTTCGGTTCGGGATACCTCCAGTGACAACGCCTAAGTGGGGCTTAAAAATTCAATAAAAAATCACTTAACATTTCCATAAGAAGCTTTCAACGGTTCACATGCCGGCCTCGCATACAGCGACTTAAGCCCAGAGAGAGACGAACGGAAATAGAAAGAAAGAGAGTCGCTGTCAAGTCCTGCACAAAAACTGCAGGAACTAAAGCAATTTCACATTGAAAACTACTGCAAATTAATCAAATGCCTTTGCAAGAGCTGCAGAACGGCCAAGAGGCAAGACTGGCAAGCAAACAGGAGAATGCCAGTTAGTCAGTCACAAAGACAGCGGGGAACGATAAAGGCCAAAGGCAGCCGTCCCTTTTCGAATCCAACCCTGCGACCTCCACACACACACACACACACACACACACACTGTGGCTGGTTACATACATATAAACCTCCTGTTTGTGTGTATCGCAACGCATTAAATCGATAACACGATTTTTCAGCACGCACACAGCCTGAGCCCAGACTGGATCCCAAAACAACTGGCTGACTGTGAGTTAAATTGTCAGTTTCATTACGTGGCAGCTTTCCCCGTTCGCCGAGCTTCCTCCTGCGGAATTTCCTTGCTTTTTAAAGCCAAATCACTACGTCTGCGCGTGAGTCTACCCTGCCACCTCACTACCCTCGCAGTGCGACAAGCGATTTTTCAAGTTGGCGCTTCATCGTTCTCCGGAGCTGGTGTTCCTTCAGTTTTTGTTCGGTTCTGCGGATCTGGGCTCCAAGCAAACTCAATTTTCGATGAGGGCAGAAACGCATCGAGAGCGAAGTGGCGAGGACTCCTCTGGGGACTCCTCGAGAGCTCGAGGACCTCGGCGCTGGTGAGTTCAACAAACATTTAACTGATTGCCCGGGCGTGTGTTCGTGCCCGGCCCTGCCTGATTTTTTGATTTGCAATACACCTGGGAGCGAGACAGCCCTCGGCCACGAAAATGTTTAGCTTATTTGTTAGCGCTGGAAAATAAATTGTCTGTGCGTGCGGTAATTGTAAATTACGTACGGACGGGACGGACACGGCTCCTTGGCAAGTCAGTGTCAGTAAGGCAGCCAAGTTATTGACACCTCTCCGAGCTACGCCGTGCATTTTTGATCGAAACTATCAGGGGAGCCATGTTATGGGAGGCCTGCTCATAACATGCCTGAATAGATGAGAGGCAGAGCACTAAACTAGGCAGTTGATTGGAAATCTTCATCCGTTCCCCGGGTCAATACAACCCAGATTTCGGTGCCTCCGCCCCAAAGCAATTCAATCAGTGGGCTCGCAACTATGCGAGTAATCCACTTTGGGCGCCCAAAAGTATTCAACAATTTCTTTTAAACTTCCTGCTGACACAAATCAGCCCACGGCCATAACTCAAACTATCTCCACCTCCGCTCCACGCCCGTGTCCGTGCCCATGCCCATGCCCAGGCCCAGAATCAATAACCATAAACAGAAAATCCTTATGCTCACGTGTGGAGTGGAGGAGCAGCCGCATAAAAAGTATGCCACATGCTCTGGGAAATCACTAAATTCAGCCCAAGGCAACGTGTACCTCATCATTTATGGAGGCAGTAGAAAGGCAAGCTCGAACACCGAGCACCGAGCAGAGAGCACCGAACACCATGCAATGCCCCCGTTGATAACTGAGAGTGCTTATCACGCCCACTCCGTCCCCGTCTCCATCTCCGTCTCCGTCTCCGGCTCCGACGACTGCATGTGACATTTGCATGCTTACTTAAACAGCAAAAAGCAGCCTCTACGTCAGCGACTGCGGGCTTCTGCCACGTCGAGCTCGGCACGTCTGCGTCAACTATGCTTTACATTTCGGCCAGACTCGGTCTCAGGCTCAGGCTCTGGCTCAGGCTCAGGTCGGGACTCAAACTCAGTTTCAGTTTTGCCTGGCCCGCTGGTGTTGTCAGTAGGCAGTCGCAATCCTGTCGACGTCACATCAGCACACGTGTGTAGTAAAAATCAGACGTGTGGGCGCTCCTCCGGAGTCGGAGCTGTCGTAGTCGGGCCGAGTCCTGCCTCCATGTACTTTGATTGCTTGCACGTTACCCGTACAATTTTCGGTATGATGGCGGCAACATTTCATGATTTCTTGTACGTGTTTCAGTCTGAAAGCACGCGTCCTCCGCCTCGCCCTGTGCTTCTTGCCAAGTTGCCACTGCGCGACCCAACCCCCCAGATCTATTCCGGCTCTGGGGTTTCGGAGTAATGTATGCAAGCACTTTTTGTGTATGACGCCGTTGCGCTATGGGTCGTCGCCGTGTTTGTTTGCCTGGTGACTGATGATGGTTTTGCTCAGCTCCCATTTCGCCATCAGCCACAACCTCGGCTTCCACTTGAGCCACTAGTTTCTCGGAGGGCAGCGATTCGGGGGCTCGTTCTGCTAATAAATCAATGACGCCATTCCGAGACGAAGTAGGCGATGATTTATGCCTGGCGAAAGGGTTCCAAGCACTTTCGGGCCTAATTGAGTTGCCCTTGATGGATCCGTCATTCCTATATACTCCCTTATTTCGGTAAGGAATCCTTTCGGTCAGCAAATGCATAACAAATTGTATAGAAATAATCACAGTTTTATCCCAACAATTTTGAAATATATATGTGTAAATTCATTTGTTATTTGTTCAATGGGAGAATCTGATATAATCGTACCGCCGTTGAGATCGCACTGGTCACTGCGAGTTGTGGACATCATAAAGCCCTTTCCCGACAATGTTCCGGCCAATGTCACCTTCAAGATTGTCCGCTTCTTCTATCCACCTTTCGCCGTGGAATTGGTGAATTTAATCCCTGTGGTCGACAATCCTGAACTGAACCTCATTGACGTTGGACTGTTTCTGACTTTCGTCTTCCTCACATACGTACTCTGTGCCAGGTGGAATTATTTCCTAAAAGCGGTAAGGGTTTAGCTAACCAAAGGCAATATAATAACTAGACTAGGGGAACATTCTGGATACATGATTCTCTGCGTTCTCACATTCCATTTCCTTATCTATTCTCTCCTGAATTTGCTTATGTATCTTATTAATTGTTACTCTACAGAAGCCCTATCGTCTGCCTGAGCAGCAGGCCAAGAGTGCGTCCGAAAAGAAGCAGTTGGCGGGCGACATTAATCTGCCAGACAACGCAACCAATGTCATCATGGAGCCCCAACAGCTGACCGAGTCGGACGACCACTTCATCGACACTGAAGAATACGAGGAGAATGATGATATCTGGTACCGCAGTCAAATGGATCTAAACGGTGACAAGCAGCACGATCTGGCGGGACAACTCAACAGAGCTGTCCGGGAGAGCTTCTAAGAGGCAGAAAGAGTCTAGCCTGTCGGCATTTTCCACTCTTTGTACTCTATACCCAGTAAAAGTTTTGTATCCTTCAAACCAAACAACTCGATTTAAGCTCCTTCAATTTCGTTTAATGATTGGGCTCCCTTTGCCGGCTCCGGAAAGTGTCGGCTTTGGGGTTTTCTCTGTGGGTGCAATAAAATGAAGTGATTTCCCGGTTTTATGCTCGACGCAGACACAGGGAGCCAGCGAAGAAGACACTGCACATGGGATTAGGTCGGGAATGGGGCTGGGGCTAGGGCTGAGGCTTGGGGCGAGGACTTGGGCAATCATTTTGGCAGCGCATGTGTCGGATTATTTTGTTGGCTTGCGTTTTATTTAAATTTGCTTCTTTCGGATGCCTTTTTGCTCGTGCGGTGGTTGTTTGTCGCCCAAATCTGACAGCAGCTGAAAAGCAGGCTAAGCTTTTGCCGCCTCTTTTGGCTTGGCTCTGAGAACAAATTAATGATTTGCCATCAAGCAAATAAATCAAAAGCTTCAAAGCAGATCTCCGGCTTAGCTCAGCGGAGTGGGAATATGTTATATACATATATATTCAAAGGCCTTTCATCTCGCTCTCTGCTCCACTTTAAAGAGCGGACAGCGTACATACATAGTTTTATTTTGCAGCTTTTTCCACTCAACTAAGCGCATGCATTGATGATATATCCCCGACCGTTTGACACCCCTTCCCATTGACATGACATAAATAACCGTGCGAGGCTGTTATAATTTATAATCCTTGCTGTGGGCATCCCGGCACAACAACAGTAACGGCAACAACAACAACATCAACGAGAACAGGAGCAGGAATAACATTGGACTGCCACGGGGAGTGCAAATATTTTTGCTTGCTCTTCTCTTTCTCTATGATCCGGGCTTCCTCTTTCATTTTTGTTGTATTTTATTTATTCGAAACCTGCCCAGGCGGAATCTCTCCGGCTCAGTCCGCCTCACCCAGGTTGCCAGCACAAATATTTTGTTGGGTTCCCTTCCTTCTACACATCCCCAGATCCTGTGCTTGCATTTAGTTTGTGTTTACTTCTTTTTTGGTCGGTAAAATGAGGTCAAAAGTTTATTGGCCAACAACTGTGTGCGAGCATCCCCCTCTGCCGGTGCTGTTTTCGTAGGCATTAATGTCAGACCGAACAGCTTTAATGCCAATAAACAAATTGCATGCACTTAGCTACAGGCCTCGCGGGCGCGAAGGGAGGGATTAGGCCAATCGAAATGGGTTTTAAATGATCGTGCAGCACTCTCATTGGCTAACCACAACAGCGAGTCAGCCTCTATGTGCTGTCCCACTGCCAGCTAATTACAAACCAATCAGCCAACTAATAAATTTCAAATAAATTATGGAAAAATAGATTCGCTAATGTATGGCACAGAAACTACAAAACGCAATAAAGCCAACGAGCACGGAACTGCCAAATGCATTAAATGTTTAAATTATGGGTTTAGAGCAGCGCTGCCTCCGGTGCGCAGGTTAACTATTTTAATTATTTAGAATAAATCTCCTAACATCTTTGTCAGATGCATAAACTATTAATTTTCCCTGCTCTGGCACTTTTAGAGATGATGTGAAAGTACGGGAACTGCTATCGACCCATTCACATGCGACTGAACATCAATCGAAGTTCTGAACATGGAAGCGAGCCGAAGGCTTCGAGTTGGTTTTGATCGGCTCAAGGTGGTTTATCCTTCCCCCAGTTGCCTTGGGTTTATTCCCTCCCCCATAAAAGCATTTGATTCAATGTTTAATGAGGGTGAACTGAATAATAGAGAAGGGCTACCTTAGTCCCGCTGGGAAGCCAGCAGCACCCCTTCCAGGGCACACTCCCTGCTCCATGATTATGACAGCTTCTTTGCCAAACCCTGCTCCTGTCAGGGAGCACCAGCACCGGCTTCCTCTGTGGCTCAGCCAGATTTCCAGGCTGTTCGGGCTTTAATTAAACGGCAATTGTGGTCATCAGTTGTCGGGCTCTCTGGTGCCTAATCAGTTTGTGTGATGAAAGACTAAGCCGGGATTACGGAATGTCTGCCATGCGGGTGCGACATTTGAATAATGAATGTCAACTCGATGCTCGCCTTGCAGGGCAAAAATATAAGCCTGGCCTAAGTCCCCAATGTCACTCAGCTGTCAATTGTGAGCAAACCTAAGGCGCAGGCCATCTAATTGGGGCGTGGCGAACTGACAAACTAACTGACCGGCTAACTGACGTAACCAGGCAAGGCAATTGGCCTGCCTGACTGCCGGATTGTCCGTCTCTCCATCAGTCTGTCGGGCTGTCCATCTGCCAGTTTGGCTGTCCCTTTTGCCTGACCATAAACTAATGCACCTAATTGCTGTGATTATGTCGTTTGTGATTATCTGAGTTTGTGTGTCCTTGCTCCCGTTTAAGCGGGTCCTGCGTTGCATACAATTAGACGCAGCGAACGCTAAATCTCATTTATCAACCGGTGCCCGATGCCCCTTGGCGCGACAATTTTCGATAATTTGCCAAAGACATCACGTAAATCTCAGCTGGCCGGATTCCTCTGCTGATTGGGTTAACTAATAACCAACCACACATCCCCCGTTCCAGTTGCTTTGGCTTGGCTCTGGGAACTTTGACTACCCTTCCTCTGCAACTGAACCGAGTCTGCCAGATTCATCTTCTGGCTGCCGGAAACTTTTTGCTGACAAGTGTGACAAGTTTTAAGGCCCATAACTAAGGCGGCAAAGCAGCCGATCACCCGCCCCGCCCCGACTGTCAACTCACCTTGGGTGAACGGTTCCAAGTGCAGGACTCCCCCCTACCAAGGGCTGTGGTTTCCTTCTGCCCCCGTGCTCTGCCCTGGGCCACATTACACATGTAGAAGGCAGAGCAATAATAGTAAATTTAAGCCCAGCCAACAGGGCGGAAAGGGAGAAATGGAGATGCGGAGGCAGGGGGACTTCACATGACTCGTTAAACTTTTTGCCATTGTAATAGTTCTGCTTGGTTGGTTTCTCTTTCTTTTGAGACAGAGACCGAACAGAAACCGAACCGAGCCCTGGCGAATGAATCCCACAAACCGAAGGAAGGATCCTTGGCTCCATGAGGGTGGTTGCTGTTTTACATGCTCCTGGTTTCTCTGCCACTGGCTGCCGGCTCCTGGCTCGGGTTTCTCTGGTTATGCGCATAATTTATAGAGTGCGACAATATGTTGCCCTCTGTCTGCCTCCCGGCAAACTTTTCCACTCTCGTTCAAGAAAGTAAGATTTCTCTGACCGATACAGCTGCCAAGTCTGGGTGTCCTCTGTGTGTGTTCGGTCCACTTTTGGGGGTCAAAGAGCAGTTGGAAGTCAAGGCTATTACCATAAGGGTACATCCACACATCTGGAAGACGTTCCACGCGGCTCTCTCTTAATTCTGCGCTCCGGAATGGAAGTCCCACGAACACAACTCCCTCCGGAACTGGACGAAAATAAAACTCTGGCACAAGCCTCAACCCCACGCGTTGCTGACGTTTTTTCGCCAAACGTTTGGGGCGATAAAAATGCAGAAACAAAAACATTTGGTTAGCTGCATAAATTTCGTTATGTGTGTGTGTTTGTTGTCGCCGCCGCGGCGGTCCGCTGATAAAACAGCGTCAAAAAAGTGTCGTCGGGGGAGCAACTTAAGTAAAACTGCGCTGTGTAGATCCTGCCAGATAGGAGAACGAGTTTGTTGCGTTGCCTAAACAAGCAGCGGGCCGGCAGGCAGCAGGCAGTAGGAAGGACAAACAAGCGAAAAAGTTTTAAATACACATTTACGTAGGGCAAAGTTCGCCCCTGTCTCTTTCGGTCTCTGTCTTGAAATTTAAATATTTGCCGCCTTGGCATACTTTTGGCTTTTGGCCGCACGCCCCTTGCCACTCATCGGATCCCTTTAATCAAGGACCTCCGGTTCAATGGCCTTCTCAAGACATCGCGTTTGGAGGAGAGCTCGTCGCATGTTTCCTGCACGCCTCATATTCCTGCCGCAAATCCCCTGCCGCAAAATTACACACACATGCAGCCCGGTTGTAGTATCTCTATTTACAATTTATGCCCCACGTAAAGGTAAATAAAGTTGCAACAAGCGCTGCTGTTGCCGCTGCAGCTTGCTCATTGCATGCCACCAAAGTGACGTGCGTCCCCTGCCCTGCCCTTGGCCCTCCTAGGCTTCTCCGCTCATCGGAGCTGCCTCGGCGCGCTTTGGTGGTTTGCCTTACAAATCCCAAAACCATTTCACTAATTGAAATGAATTTTCATACACGAGAAAGAGGAGGAGCAGGATGTGGGGTAAACTTGGGCCCGCATGCATTTGCGGGTGTGTGAGCACCAGACACTCTCGTGTCGCAGCACAAAATTGCAATGACCTCGGGCAACCACAAGAGCGTTGCAGCTAAATATGTGGAATATATATGGCAAAAAGCAGCAGCAGCAGCCGGTGTGCAGGCACGTCACAAGATCCTACGTCTCGCATCGCAGTTGAATGACTTATCATCCGGAGAGGACGAAGAGGAAGCTTTAAGACTCGCAAAGTGTCCCTGGCAAAGCTGTCAAATGAAATATGAATTCGGTGCGCTCTTGGGTATACATATATAATTTATCAAAGTTTTCCTTTTGTGCCACTGACTCTCACTTGCGTTCTAAAAATATTCCAATTAAAAATGCATATACAGTAATTTGGCTGCTGCTGCCTGCTGGGACGGGGAGTGGGAATGAGACTGGGACTGGGACCCTCTGTCCCCAAAAGGATTAAGCCACTCGACACGTCTCAAGATGTCGCCGGAGAAAGTAAATGGGCGGTGGATATACACGGCGTCTTTTTATTATTTAAATAATTATGCAATACCCACGCCGGCAAGTCGGGCATCTTAGCGGCCGCATGCAGGAATTTTCAAGTTCGTAATTATGCGATGGCTGACTGCATTCCCTAAGCTCTCGCCCCCTCCCAGCCGCACTTCCTCTTCCATTTTTAATTTATTTTGAATAAGCAGAAAAGGCACAAAAGACGTTGCCCAGACACTGCCGGCATTTCCCACAACGGAAGTCACTCCTTGTAGCTGCCGCTTGTTTGCATTCCATACGGCTGCCATGCTCTGCTCTGCCTCCGTTGCGTATACGTAATGTCGGGTAATGTGTGCACTGCTGTGAGTTTCTGAGAGGGAAGCCGTCCATTGAAAGGCGTTGAGCGTGGCTTGTAAATACAGAATGGCGATAAGGCGAGCCTGCAGGGAACCCTCTCCTACGACAGAATGGCTATCCTAAGCCATTTTGAATTTTTGTCTTGTGCTTCTCGGGGTAACATTATTTTAATTAACATATTTATGTGGGGCGGGGATAAGCGGCAACAAAAGCCAAGTCACTCGCCCCCACATACGGTTTGAGTGCATTGCAATTTTAATTACACACGGAGGCAGGGAGGCGACAAGAGCGACTGCGGGAATTCTTAGGGAACATGCACTGCAATGTTGCCATCTGAAAATCATTAAAAATTGTTTGCGAACGGCGAAATCATTAAAAGCATATAAATTATGCAGACGTCCTCCAACCAGCCCGCATCGCATCCTTGCAGCCAAGTCGATCCGGGCCTCATAATTATGCAGCATATAAATGCCACCAGCAAGGACAGCCACGAAGGATGAGGACAAACATTGTTTTGTTAATGTTTTGCATGACTTAGTTGCATACTTTCGAGGGAAGCGGCCCAGGATGAAAAGGGTTCAAAGGAAAGCGGGCCTGGGCCAAGTTATTTCGTATGCGCACCTGAAAGTATGCTTTAAGAAATTCAGAAGCCCAGACTTGGCAACTTATGTATAGCAAGCAGCGCCGCCTAATTAAGTCGCAAAAGAAGTGAATTGCTTGTACTTTTGCCAGAGTTTTGGCCCGGCTGGTAGTCTAGTAACCGGAAATTTCAGGTATCTTGGTCAAAGACCGAGTGGCTGGGCAGGCCCCACTGGGGTAGTCCGGTTCAATCGCACTCAATATCAATAAATCCCGCAACAATCTCCATTCAAAAATCAAAGGATACACATGCACAGAGTGCTGGCGGAGCGCAGGGAAGGCTGCAGGCCAGACAGTCGAACATAAAATGCCAATTTCTAGTTGCCAAATGGTTATTGCCTGGTCTATAAATGCAGCAGCAGCAGCAGCAACAGCAACAGCAACAGCAACAGCCACAGCACTGGCTGGACTTAAACCCACGTACGGGGACTATCCAAAATGGCCACAGCTCTTATGTTACCTATGGCCAAAGTCAAGCCCACAGCCAAAGCCATAGAATAGCTATAGCCACATGCACATGTATGCATAACCCCCCGTATGCATATATGTACGTCTGGCAAGTTAAGTGCCAAACGGAACACGAAGGCAATTTGTTGCGTCACAAAAAATGGCAGCCAGAACGCAGATGGAATGGATAGGGGCTTGGTTCCGGGCACGGCTTCCCCCGTTAGGAGATAAAATTAAAATTGTGCGTGAAAACTGTAGAGGATAAAGGATAGCCACATATCCATTCAACGGGCTGGCCCGACTGGCCAAGGAGCAGCGAGAGGGCTCCGTACTTAGCAGGCATAAAATATAAATTACAATGCTGCGCCATAATAAATTTCAGTTTACGTAAAAACGTTAAATTTATATACACTATATGCGGGGTGGGGGCTACTACGGCAAAGGGGTGCTGCAGCCACACCGGAATGGGGCAAAAACCCATTATGAATGAATTTAGTAGCAGCGGCAGTAACCGAAACGTGCCCGCTCTCACTCTATCCATATCTCTTGGCCCCTCCTCCCCCGTTTGCCTTTATATTTATACAAATTTAAAGCACTTTCGGGGGATCCCCAGAACCAGAAGCAAACCGAGGAACGAAGTGGGAAAGGAGGTTAGTTGAGGTTTCTGAAAAATGCCGGCAAATTTACGAGTATTTCCATGGCTGGCAGGAGCGATAAACCAGAACCAGAATGAGAGCCAGTCGAAAGCAATAACGACCGGCCAATAGACACTGAACTAGACTCTCGACTTTGGACTCCTGACTCTCGAGCTGGGCCTGCGACTAGACTGGACAGCACATAGAGAGAGAGAGAGAGTGAGAGAGAGAGGAAAAAGTTGGCTGAAGGACACCCAGGACGGAGGGCTAGGCGCTTGAAATAGGCGCTCGGGCAGGGGAGGACTTTGTCTGGCCTCCTGGGCGAGTTGAAGCGGTCAATGACAGTGGAAAGTTTTTCTGCAAGCTAACCACCAAAGCGATAAAAAATTAAAGCAACAGGACGGATGGGGCAAGGTAAGTAGGCAAAGGCAGCACAGACTGCCGCATCAAAATGCCGCAACGGCCTGTTATTATAATGAAAACGTGGCTCGGCATGGCCAGCGACCACACTAGCCGAGATGTGGCGCTAAAAAGTTGTTAAAAGCGGGGCCAGGCGGCAGACAACAGCGGAAGCCAGTTACATTTGCATGGCCAATGCTCAGTCGTCCTTTTCAAGTGCAGAGCAGAGCACGGCACAGGACGATTGTGTCTCTCACGGGTCATTAACAATTTAAGGTGCCAAGTACGGCCCAATCAGAGCTCGAATCTGGCTGGCTGGAGTTCTATTAAAGCTTTAAAGGGCGCAGCTTTGGGATCGGGATCGGGAGCAGCTGGTGAATCACAGCAGAGCAGGGCACAACCCCGCGGCTCCCCCTTAACATATAGACTTGGCCCCTCCAAATGTTCGCTTTTTAAGCGCTTTCCGTGGCAATTTATACAATTTTTGTTCTGGGAAATACATACACTCGTCCCCATACCCGTACATTTTCAACTCTGGGCCAACTTTTGTTTTGCTCAGCGATAACTCTGGGCGAGTATGCGCGACTGCACCGGGGATTGTGTGCGCGTGTATCCAATCGTGCAGAATGCCCATTTTTATATGTATTTGCATATGGTGCATAAGCATTTTTTCATACCCCATCCATCGGCCGGAGCCGCTCTGCTCCTCATCGCGAAATTTTAAGCCAAAAGCAGCATTGGGTGCGGACGCGGACAAAGTTTTCCTGAAAAATAACGTAGGCTGTCGCACCCGCCGCCGATTCATTCATTCATTTGCGAGTTCTGCAGGCTCTTCCCATTTTTCCAGTGGGTGCCAGAAGTCAACAAATAATATTTTCCATAAAAATTCGCACTGCTGGAAAAATTGAAATGAAAATATCCCCGGCTTCGGGAGGAGAAAGGAGTCAGGGTAGGACCGCTGCCAAATGTCATATGTACATATATACTCGCATGTGTGTGCTTATTCTCCTGTGCGGCTGTGTGGGTGCGGGCAATCTGAATCTCAATTTGATGTAGAATTTAATCAATATTTGTGTTACGATGACAACGAGGACCCCTGCCGGGCATCCCCCTCTGCAGACTGGGCACAGTGTGCGGCAGGCAGGTTAGAATGTTTATCAATTTATGCATAAATGCAAATAGAATTTCATAAATAGTCATTTAATTGCACTTTGGCCAGAAGCAGAGGCGCCGCACGACGGACGCCGGCCTATAAACGATATGCAAAATGCAAATTGGCGGACAGAGAGAACACTTAGGCAGTGTCACATGCAAAATCCATCTGGCGCATTGATGGGCCGGCAAAAGTGTGCAACTGCCAGATTAAAGTGCTTCGAATTGTGGCCAAAAGCCTGAGCACTAAATGCAGCCAAAGCGGCTGAGAAAGTATGCCAAATGCCCGGCACTAAAGTGAATGGTTTCTCTGAAAAAGAGGGGCAAACAGGGGCTGCTGGAAGCTGGCAAAAATTATTTAGCACGCAGCAAAATCAAGACAAAGCTTGGCATAAATACGAAATATGAAAACACGGGGTGGGCGAGTGTGTGCCTGCGTGTGTTTGCACAATGCAAGGGGAAAACAAAAGGCAGCACAAAGCAAATACAGAGGCAGCAGGAGCCCGAAAGTGTGCTACACAAATGTATACACACGAGCCCGGCTGCTTCAGGGAGGGTTGGCATTTTCAGCAGGCCTCTTCTGTGTGTGTGTTTTGTTACTTTCTTGCATTTTGTTTATGCTTCGAAAAGAGAGCTGCCTCTAAAAATCGCTCAAAATGAGGACTGCCTTCGAATAAAAACCCGCTTCGGCTTCATTCAATTAATAGACCCATAAACGCCCCCTTCCTTTCCATCAACTCTTCGTCAGCCACTCTGCGCCGTGTGTGTATGTGTGTGTATGTGAGCCGCAGTTGTTTGTCCGCAGTGGTTCTTTTTTGCCGGGTTTCTGTTTAGGCCCCTGCGGTCGTTTGGCTCTTTTTTTTTCGTTTCCGTGGCCGCTGCCAACTATTTTCACTCCACTTTCGAATGTTTTTATCCCTAAAGCCTGCTTGCGGATATGCATAGAGCGAAAACACAAACAACGGCCAACTCTAACCGAACTGAACGGAGTCCGCAGGAAAAAAGAGGCCAAGAACATTGTTGGAAAAACAATAAATGGCAAATGTATGGCGGCATTTTAGGCGCATGGCGCATCGGAAACAAAAGAGCTGAAAATTTGCAAAATGCTGCGGCCTTTTCCCCCTATTCCGTCGTCCGGTTCGATTTTTTTTTTTCAGTATTTTGCATTTTTATAGCAATATGGCAAATGGAATTTTTGTGCCCGATGCGAGCGCTAAACATTTAAATGAGTCAAGTGGCTTTTTGATGGTCGCCACGGAGCGGGAAGGGAGGTTTTGGGTTGGGGTTGGGGTTTGAGCTCGCTGCGGGTTGAATTTGCATATGGCTGCAAAAATTGCTTTGCGGAGGCTTTTAGTGAGCCAGAATAGTGGGGAAGAGGCGCGGTCTGCCGAGCGGCACACTTTTCAAATGGGATATATATGTAGATATATGTGGGTTGTGGGGTTGTGGGGATGTCGGGTTGTGGGGATGTGGACATGACGATCTATCGGGGTTTACTCACTTAGATTTCCACTGGGAATGTAAACGTTGCCCGATGGCGTTCGCACCAAACAAGATGGCTCAAAGTCAACGTCATTGGGATTGCTGGCGGTTAAACGACCATTTTGCATGCGACTCATTGTCGGATTACGCGGCGGAACGTCCGGCGGAGCCGTTGGCGTGACTCCTTCCAGGAGGAAGCCTGAAAATAGGTGCAAAAATACGGAGTATTAGTCGGGGGCGTGCCACAAAATATTTTCGCCCAAGCCGGGAACCTCTTTTTACCCTAATTGCATTTCGCTACCAGGCCCCGTGAAACTAACTGATGTCAAATCGCGTATTTTATTCGAAATCACTGCGCATAGTCCCCACTAAAAGTATTTCCTGAATTTTTCAACAGCTTCAAATGGATTTAGTGAAGGGGCGGGGACGTCTGCTGCAATCAGTTCGCATTGAATGCTGGGCACAAAAATCAGGCGAAAGGAACAAATCGAAATGAAATTATTTAACAGCATAGAAAATTCAATTTGTCTCCTTCCCTTCCCCATTTTCCCGTCCCCCCATCGAGAGCGCTAAACAAACAAACACGGAAACTTGAACACAGATGCAAAAAAGGCAGAGGAGGCGGAGGAATAGATACAAAACTCTAAAATACCGAGAATTACCAGGCAAAAGGCAATTGCCAAAACGAGAAACCAGATATATATATAAATAAAAATAAGAGGAAAACATAGAAAATGAAATTCAATTTGCGCGCTCAAAAATTTCAATGCCGCTGAGAGGGCGAAAATGAGAACGAGAAGGAGGAGCATGGAAATCGGGTGCCAAAGTGCCTTTGAAACTCATCCCCACACACTCGGGGCGTCGAAGTGTGTCTATGTGTGTGAGCCTCCTCCCTTATCCTCTTCACTTCTTGTGCTGTAATAAATTTCAAAAGCATTCGCATTCACTCGCATAGAAAATTTTAAGCTCATTTGTAGGCTTAAAAAGCATTTTCAAGAGGGAGTGCTGGGTGCAAACAGGATGCCCGACAAATTCAAACGCCAAAAGCGAAAAAGGACACAACAAATGCCTAATAAAAAGCGGCAACGGCAGCGAACGGAAGCGCCAACGGCCAAGGAACAAAATTTCAAATTTGTTGAGATTTGCCGGGCGCGAAATTTATATCCTTCCCCTCGCCCTAGTCCTCGTCTCCTCCTAATCCGCCCTCTGAGGATGCCATGTACGTGTGTGGGCTGCCGCTGGCTTAGTTAGTTAGTCCGGGAAGCTGCTTCTCCTTGGGAGCCCCATTGCCGTAATCGCATTGCGCTAGGCCGAGACCATTCTCGTTTCTCCTGCTGCCAATGTCCTTTTTTGCGCTCTGCTCTAAGCTGGACCAGAGGGGCAGCAGCAGCGGCAGAATCTGGGCGCACAAGTGGCCACTGGCCTGGCTGTGGGATGTTAAAGCTGCGGAAAATATGACACCAACTTGTCTGCCTCGGACGAGCCACGAGAACTCGGCCTGCTGCCCGGATTGCCGCAGGGCCTGCGCATTATCGTAATAATGAAACGCGACCCCCTCTCCCAGGGCAACGGCGGAAACAACAACAAAAACAGGCAGGAAGAAGCCCGGCGACTGCCTGCCAGCGAAGATTATTTCACGCGGTTAAACACAACGGCAAGAGCACCAAAAGTTGCCCCAAAAATGTTCAGCCAAAATTGGCAGCTGTAAAGTTGCTCTGTCGCTCGGTCGCTCGGTCAGCTGTGATTAAAATTGGGCGGAGAATATTTGTGGACTTTTGTCTTTGGCCTGCGTGTAATTAGATTTGAGATTTAAGGCGCTTATGCTCGATGCGGGGTAATTTAAATTGAAAATGTTCGCGGACTCCAGGTCGTATGGGTGATGTGCCGCCTCTAGGACTCGGAGTTGTGCTGCTTCTCACCAATTCATTAGCCAAGGATCTCTTATAGTGCTGCCGTGCAATGCGCTGACCTCCAATTATATCGTCATCAAGAGCACAAGTTAAGCTAAAGTAGCCAAGTGCAATTTGCATGGACAAGCGCCATGGATGGCGTCATTTAAATACACATAAGGCGGGGCGGGGAGTTTGTGACGTGCTGCATGCATTAGTTTAATATTAAGCAAGAGGAGAGCAAACTGTCAATTGTGATACCACTTATTTTGCAGGAATATTGGGACATTTTTTTTTGCTTAAAAGGATTGCTAATTTTCCTAAAATTTGACAGTGAAATTGAATGACCCAGAAGAAAGATCCTTGGACATTTATGATCTACACAAATATACACTGAGGATATTTTTTAAAAGTTTCCCAATGATGGGCATATCCTCTTCGTTCAGTTTTGATGGACCAAGTCAAGGGCTTAGCCAAATGGCAGAAAAAAAGAAGAAAGAAATACAAAAACGATGACAATGGCCACGTTGGGAGCCAAAACGAAAGTGGCTAACAAAGAGGATTCTCCACTAGTCGTGGTTGCCTGCCTGCTTGCCAGTTGGCATCCGCATTCGCATCTATGTACATCCGCATCTACTTGCACATACACAGGCAGGCATGATCTGGGGGCCAATGCGAATGCCAAGCGACCACTTAAAGCGCAGTCAGAGGCGGGAAGAACAAGACCTAGATGATGGACCAGGAGCAGCAGAGGGAAGGGGGGAAAAGGAGCAGAGCCAAACGAATGAACAACGGGCAACTACTGGGAATGGCGCTGATAAGCAGCTTATCTTCATTTCTACAACCCCCAGCGTTTATTTTTCCACTGCCTCGATCTCTGTGTGAGTGTGTTTGTGTGTTGTTTGCTTGTGTTGTTGCTTGTGAAGTCGCTGTTGTTGGTGTTGCTCCTCCTCTGCTGGCGCTGCTGTTGCCATTGTCGTTGTCATTTTGAATGTGAATGCGCTGCTGCTGTTTTTAGGGTACGCAAAATGTGTAATGGCATTTCGTCAGACGGAGCATGAAAAAGCGAGGCGAGCTTAGTGATAACATGGGACAAGGGGCATGGGCAGAGGCAGGACAAGGGTGTGGAGTGGGTGCAGCATTTGTGGCGGTTTTCCCCCAAATGTGTGTGTGACAAAGCGAATTTTCCTGCTCGTGGCCCACTGTTTGGTAAGTGCTCTGCTTTTTTTGGCTTGCATTTAATGTTTTTATAATGCACTCAGCAGCTAAAAAAAGAAAAGGAAACTAGCTACATTCGACAGAATGGAAAATCAGCCAAAATGCTAAAAAGTATTCCCGCCAAATTGAAGGGATTTTAGGGACATGAGGTATAAGTCGGTGGCTGGGCAGCTTCGGCTTCAACTTCAATTAGGGAAACGGTCGGGCCGGGAATGAAAACATTCAGGCGGCATGGGCACGGCATGCGCTGCCGAGTGAAATATGTTAATTAAATTAAGAGATAGAGGAAGAGGGGGATCGAAAGGCGACACCAGCTGCTTGTGGCATGCCAACAATGGGCAATGAGAGCTGGCAAGCGGGGGCATGCCAACACCTTCGGAGGCAGCAGCAGCAGCAGAAGCGGCAGCAACAGATTCTTCCTCAGCTCCTGGCTCCCTTGACGAGAGAGAAATGCAAAACACTTTCGGTATGACAGCTGAAATGTCAGTTAAGCATGAATTGCTGCCAGCATAGGGAGGACGAAGGCGAAGGCGAAACTGGAGTAATGAAAATGAGGCATCCCGAGCCCGTCCGCCTGCCCGACTGCCTGCCTGCCGGCGTTCCCAGGTGGGCAGCAGGGACTGACAACTGCTGAAGCGTTTCTTAACTACAGCTCCGTGCTGCTGCCATGCTCCTGTTTTCCTTTCGCCCGAGTTAAGTGAGTGAGAAACGAAAGATAAAGATGCCAACCGGGAAATTGCATTGCAGTCGTGGCCCGGAAGCGGCGATGACATTCGCTTAATCGATGGAGATCTCCGTTTTCTAGCCCATTAAATTGAAGCACAGTCCGTCGCATCCCGGATCCGGCAGCAGCATCGATAATAACAATAATCAGGGGAGACAGCTATGATGACAGGTGGAGCGAGCCCTGCGTAAATCCAGGTGCCCATGTGGGCCACGCTGCGTATACGCAATATATAGCAGACAGCATGTATGATTTTTTGCCGTCCGCTGCTACTGCTGCCATTTAGTTGATAAGGGATAGAATTGTATAGCGGCAGGAGGGAACGGTGCATGGAGGAGCAAGCAAACAAAAGGCGCCTAAACTGACAATTGGGCGCTTTGTTTGTAGCGTGTCTGTGCATTAGGACCCTGCCAAACTGACTGCATTCAGTTTCAGGCCTCAATGCTCCTTCCCCTTTTCCCTGAAAGGCGGCGGCAGGATAATGCGGGCCATCTGTATGCGTGTACGCATGTCCCTGCCAATGTTTGCACTAATACAACAGCCACACAGAGAAAGAAACAATAGATTAAAAGAATAATATAAATTCTTAATATTCCTGGGTTGGTAGTACATTTGCTTCCTTACATAATCATTTTATATATTTTATAGCTACCACTTCTCTTAAAGGTGGCTGAGGTATTGTTTTTAGTATCAGGAAAGATACTCTTCTGGGAGCAACTGTTTCATGTTAGTCTATAATATTTTTCGCTGTGCATATAGCGCTGTATCTGGGGTTGTATGTTTACGCCGCCTGCGCCTGACATATAAATAGGACCCCGAGCTCACACACTCTCACAGAGTTGTCAAAGTTTAGTGGAGAATTGCTTGTCCTGGGCCGGTCAAGTAATTCCTTTGCATAGGTGAATGTGTACAGTTTATTAAATGTGAGTCCTGGCCGAATCCAACCCAGGGCCTGCCCAACTATTTATGTCGCCTGTCGTGTACCGCCCAAGGACCGCCCACACACACCAGCAGCAACACTAAACACACACCCTCTCACGTGCAGACGGGCCCATTGTGCGTCATTTGCAAAGCCCTGCGCATCCACAATCTTTGTTTGTCAAAGTTTGCGTTCGCCTAGGAGATTTATTTAGTCGGGCTTTGGCACAACTTGGATTTACTTCGACACAATTGTCAGCTTAGTCACGTTTCATGTGTCGACGGATCCGAGCGGTCGGGATGCGATCCGGGGAGAAGTGTGAGTTGCAGGATATGTGGCTGGGAGCCACGCTAATGCTAAACACGACATAAAGGTAAAAAGCCAGAGACACGCGATGCGAATATTTTTACGGGCCGCCAGTGAGGTGGAGCCTGGCGAAGGAAAGCAAG